TTATTCATGTGTGGCCTGGCATTGAAGAGTATCTTACAGGTCTTTGCTTGACATGACTGCAAGTAATACAGGAAGTCATGATGGGCTTAAAAGGGCATACAAAATAGGTGCCCCAGCATCCCTAAACTGGTTCTGGAAATGAAAAACCTCTATATACATTTATTTAATTGTCTTCACCTTGATAAGTAAAACTGGTGCATGTAACACAGACACTAGTTCATGTTAAGACATTTCAGAAATACATAATTATAGACAAAAGTGAGGTTCTAAAGGGCTTAAAAACGTGTCTGTGAGACAACTTCCCATCATCAGTTAGCAAAAAAAATTAATTATATACTTTTCTTATTGAAACCAAATACCAATATACATTAAGTAAGAGGATGTTTAATATCAAATTCTAAAAAAAATATTTTGTGCTACATTAATATATACAGTTAATTTATATACAGGCTTCAGCAAAAGAAGAAATTGTCTAAAATAGACTTAATAAGCTATGTGGACTGCCCACGTAGATAGTCGTAGGTTTTTTTCAAGAAATTTTATACTATAATTTTTGAAATTCTTTTCACCAAACTTTAATTTAGTTTCTTTTTCATTCCAAGAGTTCTTAAAATACTTGTTTTTTTTAATGATAAAAGGGCAGAAAACAGGCTTGCATTTCAATTTAATTTAATTTATCTTAAAAATTTAACTTATTTTAATATAATTTTTTTTTAATTAATTTTTATATTATTGTTTTTGTAATTATTTAACAATTTAGCTATTAATTAAATAAACAATGATATAAAATTGTTATAATTAAAATAATTGTTATAATATAAACTGACTTATGTGGGGGGGGGGGGGGGGGAAAGGCGATATATATATATATATATATATATATATATATATATGTATATATATATATATATATATATATATATGTATATATATATATATATATATATATATATATATATATATATATATATATATATATATATATATATATATATATATATATATATATATATATATATATCTTGTTGGACTTTTCAGGGCCGGAGGCTGCATTAATTTTGGGGCCTTTTTTATGCGCCACAGCGTAAAAATGACTAAAAACATTACCGAATGGTCCTCTTGACTATTTCCCCTAACATTGTGAGTCCCAGGGCTATAGCCCTACTACCTCCACCCCACCTCTTCAATCCAGCACTGGAAATAAGACATAAGTATATAAATAAAAATTATATATACTCTTTGATAAATCAAAGAACATTTGTTATTTTATAGTTATTACTTTGTATAAAAAATTTCGCTTAATTTTATAAAAAAAATTATAAGAGAGCGACGTTTCAAAAATAATTGCTGTATTACATTTATTTTGCTTAAAGTTTTTTAGCGTTAAAAGCTATTTTTCTTTTTTTAACTGTCTCTCATCGGTCCACTTAATCTTATTGCACTTTTTTGTTTGTTTTTGAAATATTCTCAAAACGACTAAAAAATCTGGCTGGTTTTTCGCAACTAAATAATATTTCCGTGGTCAATTATCGAGTGCAATCGCACCCGCTTCCCGACCAAGCCTTCCCAATAAAATTGTATCTTTAGTATGTAATTGTTTTTTTTAACATATTATCTCTCATATTTAAATACTATTTTATAATTTTCTTGTTATTTTTAAAGAGTATTTAGTTGTTATTGTAAAAAGCTATTAAGCATTAATAAAACAAACTGCAAAGTTGTTTTTAAAATATAAATAGCTTGTGTTAGTGTAAAACAACTTCGTGAGGCTGTTTTGTTGCTGTTTTACACAGGTTATAACCTTAACAATGTAAAACGTGTTTAAAATAAAATGAAGCAAATAAACAAAGTTGTTCTAATTACAAAATTAAAAAACTATCGTCATAAAACTTAATATTTGCGCAAAAACATGCTTATAGACCATACAAGTCTATAATCTATAGATCAAACGAATAAGATAAAAGAAAAAAATTAGTTACCACATTTTTTATAATTTATTGGTTCTTGTTCTAAATTGATGTTTTCATTCAATTTTTTATTCAAATTGTTTTCCAATAAAAAGTTAATAAAAAAATTTGGTTTAATAAATTGAATTATATTTCCTTAAGTTTAAGAATATGCTTAAAAACATTGAAGCAAAAAAGTTGCTGGTTTCTAATAGCATTAATTAACTATTAGAATAATAAAAATTAATAAAAAAGTATATATATATATTTTAATATACTTAATTTTTTCTTAAAATTAATAATATAAAATTGATGATAAAATATTAATTTAAATTATTAATATTAAAAAAAAAAAAAAATTACAAACCAGGCTGTTTTGTTAAAAACAAAAATTGAATAAAAAAAAATTATCTTAAACATCTTTTCCCTTATCAACTTTTGCGCTTTAACAACCTTTTAAATATTATTGGCTTCCTCTCAGGTTTAAAGTAATTTAAATTCAAATGAAAATCTTCACTCGAAAGAGCAAATGATCTTCTATTCAGAAAATAAATTTAGCATGACATTCTTTATAAAAAAACAATACTTTTAAGAATTGCCAAAAATATATGTTAAACTAGAAAAAATGTAAATAAGCAACCAAAAAAAAGAAAAAAAATCGCTAAAATATTTTTTTAAATAAAAAAATTGTTGCAAAGGTGTGAAAAGCAATCGCAATAAGCTTAATTCAAGCCCTGTTTTTATATAACTTCTTCCTAAGGTGGGAGAGCATTACATTAAACAGATTTATTTACTGACGTGGCAGATAATCTAAATTCAACAGTGTGAGGGAGTCTTTTGATAATACTCGGTGGGTGGTTAGAATCACAATGAACATAATTCAGCTCACATTTGTTATGGTCAGTGATGTATACAGAAATTTTTGGGCAGAAAAGTCTAATTATCTTGGCTACGTTTAGAGGAACATATTTTTTTTTTAGAAGACTAATTTGAAAAATTTATATATAATATATACCTCACTTTAGTATTTTAAGTTTTTCGAAATAAAAATGTAAGTAATTAACCAAAATAGTCAGTATTATTACATATATTACAATATGACGGCTTTAACACCAACATCGATTTGCCACTAATTTTTATTTTAATGCTTTGTTCGCTAACTAATATAAAGAATAAAATCAAATATATTTCCTTATTGCTTCTCCTAGAGAGAGAGAAGCGTTAACTAAAGTACTTCATAAACAAGCGTTAACTCTAACCTTTAATAAATAATATTTGTATGTTTCTTTTATATAGACTAAAAAGATTTATTACATAGCGTATTTATTGCATAGTAAGGTCATTTCTTTTAAAATTTTAATTAATTCATTCAAAATTTGATAACTTTTTTTTGTTGTTCTTCCCTTACTTTTCAAATCAAGTTTTTTGGCATGATTGTTTTTTATGTTTTAAAAAACAATTATTTTATAATTAAAAATATTTTTAATGCAATTGTACTGTTATTTGAATTGAAAAAGTTTAAAGCTTATAATGTTTAATCATATTGTAAACTATAGTTATGAAAGCGTAAGTTGAGGAGACACTCATACTAAAGGTATTTTAAACAAGTGAATGTTTTTATTTAAAAATATAAAATGTTATGCATTTCATATTTTAATAAAAATTAAAAGAGATTTTAATGGTAAAAAAAGTCTTTTTCAATTTTTTTTTCAAAAATTTAGAGACTTTTTTTTTACCATTTAAATGTCTTGTAATGGTCACATTTTTTGTAGTCGACAAAAAACTTGATTTAAAAAGCAAGAGTAGAACAAGAAAAAAAAGTTATTAATTTTTGAATGAATTAATTAAAATTTCGTATGAATTGACCTTGTTTGCAATTAATGCGTGATGTAATAAATCTTTTTGGTTGTAATATATGTAATAAATCTTTTTGGTTAATTGTTTACATTTTTATTGGGAAAAATGTAAAATATTAGGGCAAGTTGTATTACAATAAATAATTATATTTAAATTTGTGTTTTAAAAAATAACAGTCCTCTTAAGGTAGAAAGGATTTTAGGACCGGTATGCCTAAAAAATTTCTGAATACGTCACTTTAACAGTGACGTATTCAGAAATTTTTAAAACAATTAAAAAAATGCAAAAGTACATAATTGTTTTTTAAAAAACAGCAATAATTATGTCTAGAAAGTTTTTTATTTAATGCTGTTTTTGTTTTTGTTTTTTGCTGCTGCATCGACTATCTTATAGCCTGCTGCTACAAGGAAGGGCTGCTGCATTAACTAAGGGTTTGGGCAAGCAATTTATCATTTTAAAAAAAAAACATTAAAGTTTTCAAACTTTTTCTGATTGAAAACATTTTGATGTTTGTATTTTTTTTATAAATTAATTATTTCTTAAATAGTTTCAAAACCATTATTGGCAGAGTGATACTTTGTTGCCATTATCACAAATAAACATTCTCATTTTCTAATTTAAACACTGGTTTTTTTGGTATCATTATAATCAAAATTTTATACTGTATATTAACTTTAAAAGTTTTTTTATTGCTAAATAATTGCAAAGTTTTTAATACACTTGAAGCATAATATTTTAGAAAGATCAAGTTTTTCAAAAGATTATTTTAATTTGCAGCTGCAAAATTGAAAAGAAATATATCATAAATGATAAACTAAAAAAAAAAAAAAAAGTTTCACAAAAAAATCACAAGTTTATTTCATAATTACTTAACATCTAAAACTCTAAATTTAGTTTTCCCAAAAAGCTATTAAAAAATTATTCAAACTTAAACATTTTTGGTCAAAGTTTCAACAATTCCCACAAATTTACCCAAACGTTTTTGAAATAATTCTATTGGTAATGAAAATTTCAATGTTCAAAGCAACAAAATGGATCCTATTGATATTGATATTGAACAGATTTTCATTAATTTGTAGCATGTACTTTTAGATGTCAAATAAGTGTTCCCATCCCCTTATATTTTGATATTTTTCCTCACCCTAAATTTTTTTTTTCTGTATTATTGAATAAAATGTTAGATATTTTTGCTTTTAGAAACCAAATACAACAGTTCGCTTTTTTGATAGAGGGGTAGGATTTTAAATAATACTTTCAATTAAATATAAGTTGAATCATTTTTGTTTCTTTTAAGTTTTGTAGTCAATATTATGTGTTAAATGTTTAAATTTTTTTAAGTTCTGAAATTTTCTTTTAAAGTGATTAAATTTGTTTATAGGAGTTTTATACAGTGCACAATGATGATGCTATTTTTGCTGCAAAAGAGCTTTTTAAAACTCAATCCGTTATTAAAGAGCTTGGATCAGGTATATCTTCTCATTAAAATGTGTTAAATTATTATTAATTCTTCTTAAAATGTCATAATTTGACACAAATTGCACAAAAATCAATTTTAATTTTAAATTAATTTGTAACAAAATCAAAGATGAAAATTACTTACATAAAAAGGATACTTTTCATATATTGATTGATCTATATTTTTTGTGGGGAATTAAAAATAGCAGGTACAATTGTGTGGCTATTTTTTCTAGCTTATTTTTCTTATTTATTGAATAAATAAAGAATAACACATAATGCTATTTCATAACCTTGTTAAAATACACGGCTTTGCATTCTGCATTTTTGTCGAAAAAGTAGAAGGCCATTTATATTTAAGTTTATATTTTTCATACATTTATATTAAAATTCACAAAAATATCTAAATTGAATTTGTACAAATGCTTCAATAATGTGTTTATTTTAATTAGAGTTGTTTAACACATAATAAAATATCAGATATATTGCTTTTTTGTCCTGATCAATACAAAAACATATTTTATCAGAAACAATACAGGAAAAATTTAATATAAATATTTTATAACTACTTATGTTATGTCCTATATGGTGGTCTTTAAATTTTCAAAATAACTTTTACTCAAACTAAAAAATTTGTATTAAAAATCATTTCTCTCTTTGTCTTTTTTAAAAGAAACTATATTGTCTTTATGAACTAAGTAATAGTTTTTCAATTATTGTTGAAGTATATTTTATATACTTCATAAGAGTATATAATAGTGTGATGAATCAGATCTTGACCCCTAATCTAGCCGGTAAAACCATTATTAATAATGAGGATTTATATTAATGAGATTCTGAATGGCCTAAATAATTTTTAAAGAATGTCACCAATAAACATGTGACCACTCATAAAGTAAAATGATAGTTTTGGCTGTGCTAAGCCATCTGCATAACAAAAATCAAAATGGGAGGAGGAGGGGGGGCACAGTGGAGTATGTACTCCCCCTACCCCCCTGCCTTGTCCTATTTGCATCTTTCAAATGTTGCAATAGAATATTTACTTGAAAAATAAAAATGATAGTGGGTTAATAAGAATTAAAAAATTGGAATATTCATTTAATTTAATAGTTATTTTAGTAAATATTTAGTAAATACAACACGGACGGGACAAATGGGTCACTGCTTTTTTAAAAAATAAGTTTATTTAATCCTCTATTTAGTGTCTAAAAACATTTAGCTTGGGTGCTATTGGTTGTTTTTTCCAGCGCTATGGCACTTAATAAACAATAATAACAAAATGAATAAATAATTAAAACAAAATAAATTAATGTGACATGAGTTAAAACATTGTTTTTATAATTGATTTAGTTTCCTAATTTATCTGTTACTTCATTTCAAAATTACATTTTTTCTATATGAAATACAGTTTATTTGGTTGGCTAATTAAGTCTTAAATTGAGTAGCTGATAGGTGAATTGATTTCTTGTTTATTTTTGTGTGCTGGTTTTAAAAATTTATTATAAACTTTTTATTTAAATTTTGAATACAATTAATTATAACATTATGTAAAATAAAATATAATTGATTAATTGTATTATTATTAGGGCAGCGAGGGGCTAGTTGCAAAACTGCAGTTAAGGATTTTTTATGTTTTTACCAAGTATTATAAAATTATATAAGTATAATGATAACAGGCAAACTGTAATATAGCAATTAAAAAAAATTGCAAAAGTTATTTTTAGTTGTGTTTTTTCAATATAAAAGTTTTTTGTTTACAGCAGTAAACTCAGCAAAACATCACTGAGCAAAAAGCCAATTTAAACAAAATATCAAAAAAATAAATATTAAATACAATACAAAAAATGATAGTTTATATTATTTTATGTCTCAATTATTTAAAAATTACATTTTTAAAAATGTCACAATCAGCTAAATCAAAAAAATTAGATTCAGAATTCAAGCATACCAAAGAGCAAAAGGTTATGAAGGAAGCAGTTAAATCACTTACTAAAATTACAAATTTCTTTGGAAAACTGAGATCTACTCCAATCACTTTTGACATAATACAACCAACTGAAAGTGATAATAATGTAGTGCAAAAATCTGGCCGTGATGATGATACAATTCAACAATCTGACATTGATAGTGATACAGCTCAACAATTTGACATTTATGGTAATGTAGCTCAACATTCTGACATTGATCAACAATGATGGCAATGATGATGATGCAACTAAAATTATACTTGTGCTCATCTTTGTTATGATATTTTCAGACCTTGAAACACTTCTATTGTTACCCAATGCTTAAAAATTCAATTTGTATGATAAACATCACCGACCTGTTTCAACACCCCTTTTTTTATCAGGTAATGGAAAAAAGTGACATTTCACAATTAAACTACTTGATAAATATCCATACTTTAGGTACAGTAAGAACAAAAATGATTTATACTGTGGTGCTTGTATTTCTTTTTGCCAGCTGGTAGTAAGGAAGGTAAAGGGCAATTTGTTTTGACTTCAGCTGATGAATGGAAAAATTTAGCAAAACATCTTGTCAAACATGTTTCAAACAAAATTTTTTTTTTTTTTCAACAACTTTGCTTCCAACAAGGCTGCAAGCAACCACTAATTAGTGTTGGAAGTTACTGGAAGAGAAAAGATGAAGATTGTAGAGCAAGATAACGATTGACAGACAACTTAAAAGATTGCAAATTATATGAATCAAGAAAGCAAGATGAAGGAAGCGAATTCCAAAGAACTGATGTTTGAGGAAAAAAACTAGACGAATAAGAGTTTTTGGAGCACTTAGGAACAGTAACAGAAAAAGGATGAGACTTAGTTGAATGACAAGTAACACGAGAATGAATTTTTGTAGATGGCACAAGAGACGCTAGCTCTTTAGAGCAGTGCTCATTATAGTATTTGTAGAAAAGAGAAAGAGAAGCAACATTATGGCGATGTGACAGGAGTTAAGGTTGGCTGCAAGAGCCGGTCCAACTATGTTTACAATGCGTTTTTGCACCTTGTCTAAAAGAGAAAGGGCATCATTAGAAGATCCACCCCAGATATGGCAACAGTATTCTATACAAGGCTGGATTTGAGATGAATTTTCAGTGATTTTTGTATTTTATATAATTATAATATTATTTTCCCCCTATTTTTATACCCCAAATAAAAATTAATATACTGCAAAACAATGAACTGCCTGCTAGGCCATAATAAATAAATCAACAAAATTATTTTGAAATTTTAATTGCCAATATATGAGGCTCTATTTCTTTACAACATAGTTTTTACTTAAGACTTCATCATAAACTTTTAGATCAACTTTTATATAAAAATATTTCCTAAAACCTCCAAAAAATTGCTTATTTTCCTCTATTAAGAATTTTAGCACCATATGAAAAAAAAATCTTTATATAGATTTGTTCAACATTTAATAAGATTTTTAATAACATGATAACACTTAGAACTTTTACTTTTCAAACATCGAAAATATTCATTAATTTTGTTACTTTAGTGTGTTTTTTTTAAATGAAATCTACTGTTTTTTTTTTTTTTAAATATATATATGTTTAAAAAAAAAAAATTAAATCTAATGTCAGATTGAATTTAAATATATATATATATATATATATATATATATATATATATATATATATATATATATATATATATATATATATATATATATATATATATATATATATATATATATATATATATATATATATATATATATATATATATATATATATATATATATATGTAATCCATAGTTAATAAGCATATATATATATTTATATATTTATATATATATATATATATATATATATATATATATATAATATATATATATATATATATATATATATATATATATATATATATATATATATATATATATATATATATATATATATATATATATATATATATATATATATATATATAAATAAAACAACCTTTTTGATAGGGACCTGCTCTGACCCCTTTAATTTGTTCTGTATGGTACTGGGACACTAGGTTTGAAGTTTTTTTGGGCAAGGGATGTTTTTAGGGGTAGCTTGGGACCTTTATTTGAAGGGTCTCTAATGTTTTGAAAGAAAAGTTCTTCTGGGGTATGTCAGCCTGGTGCTCGAGAGGGATGGAATTATATAAAAAACTTCAAAAATAATAATCAAAGTCAGGTCAGGTTTATCTTGCTACTGCTAACATGTAACCCAGTACAATCTGCTTCATGTCAACTCCAACAGAAAACACCCTCTGCTTGATGTCAACTCCAACTGAAAACACCCTCTGCCTTAGGGCACTTGGTTAAGTAAAGGCTAGAGATGGTGTCTCAATAAAAATGCTCATCTTGGGCAGATGTTGAATGCATTCAGCTGCTGTCTTGAAGAAGGCCTCCTAGGCAATAACTTAAGGGGTAAACAGGTTCTATCTGTTGACCAGCCTCGTACCCCTTCTTCATCTATTAGGCTGGCGCAGATGTATTTTTAATACATTGTTTCCAGTTTAGGATGTTGAATGCTGGATCTTCTTGACTGGACGCATGGGTTTTGCTTGTGTTTTTATGACTAGGCAACTCATTCTATTATCTCCTAATGAGGGTACAGCTCTAAAACTCAGTTTTTATGGTTCTGTGGCCGGCTGGTATTCAGGTTTCCCGAACTCTGTGGTAGCTCTTAGAGAGGCTGATTCCATCAACAGCTGAAAAATATCAGAGTACTAACAGTGCCATGTTGCGCATGGATGGTGTCCCTGTTAGTTTTTTTGGTTTGTATTACTAAGACCACATTGGAGCCCTTTATTACCGCTTAGGGTTTATTAGTAGTAATGAGGCAATTGCTTGGGCTATAAACCAGTGTACTTTCTTACAATCTGTTATGTAAGATACATATACAAAAAATTGTAATATATATATATACAGTCGCGATCAAAAGTTTGGAACATTTTAAAAATTTGCAGAAAATTTGAAATACTTGTTAAAAACCTTTTTTTTTAATTGAAAATTTTGAGTATTAGTA